GATATGAGGAACCCATCAGCCCTGCCACCCTCACCACTCTGTGGTCCCTCTCTGTTGCCATCTTCTCAGTTGGAGGCATGATTGGGTCTTTTTCTGTGGGACTCTTCGTCAACCGCTTCGGCCGGTGAGCACCAAGCACGTGCCACCTCCCCTGGTGGCAGGGCCTGGCTCTGGGGCTCTTGCCTTGCTCATGAGACCATTCTTCCACTCTCTGTAGCTTGTTACTGCCTGTGCTGGGAGTTGGCAAGCCTTCTTTCCTGGCCTCCCCAAGGCTTGGCCTGCTGCAGAGCTGAGCCCTTTGCATGAGCCAAAAGCGTGTAGTCTGTCCCTTAATAGCTTTCCTGTTGGCCTTTTCAGAGTCTGCTGTTTCAGCTAAGCGTGTATCAAAACGGCGCTGTGTGGTGCTCCTTAGGGCAGCATCTGTTTAACTGTCTGGCTGTCACGGGGGAGCATCAGCCTTATCCTACCGAACCCTGTGAGTGTCTCTGCTTCCCAGTGGTGTGTGGCCATGTGCCTGCACTGCCCTGAAGGCTGCAGAGACAGACGGTGAGCCCTGTGTGGTGCTTACGCTTCAGCCTTGGATGCTTTCCTGCATGGGGAATGACTGCGGACACCTCCCTCGTGCACAGTGTTGGCGTTTGGTTTCACGTGGCTGCACAACCCCTCCCGATATTCCCGTCAGTCTGATGTTCTCATTGAGTTCCCTCCTTGCCTCCGCAGACGTAACTCCATGCTGATGTCAAACGTCCTCGCCTTCCTGGCCGCTGTCCTCATGGGCTTCTCCAAGATGGCTTTGTCCTTTGAGATGCTCATTCTTGGCCGCTTCATCATCGGCCTGTACTCTGGCCTCACCACTGGCTTCGTGCCCATGTACGTGGGCGAGGTGTCACCGACTGCGCTGCGGGGTGCGCTGGGGACCTTCCACCAGCTTGGCATTGTCTTGGGCATTCTCATTGCACAAGTAAGTGCTGTCCAGGGGGTCTGTCTGTCTGCAGCACTGTTTCTGGACAGTCAGCGCGTTGTTGATGCTGCTCTGGTCTCAAGTGGCCCAGGAGCATTGCTCTGTACCTCTGTACAGCTCCTCAGGAAGTGTGAGGGCTGGAGAGATGGCGCAGGGCTCAACAGGCACAAGGATGAGATAAGATGTAGGGTTTGAATGTCCAGCATCAGGTTGTAATGCCTATAGGCTACTTGGACACAGCATGGTGCTCTGCCCCTCTGATAGGCACACTGTGAAGCTTGAGTGTCTGTGTGTGCTCCACAAAGCAGAGCTGGGTTGGGCCTGCAATGAACTGGATTAAAGGAGAAGGGGAGACTCTACAGCACTGATGAGGCTCAAAACTTCTTGTTCTCAGGTGTTTGGCTTGGACTTGATAATGGGAAATGACTCGCTCTGGCCACTTCTCCTGGGGTTCATCTTTGTCCCTGCCCTGCTGCAGTGCATCATCCTCCCCTTTGCCCCTGAGAGCCCTCGCTTCCTCCTGATCAACCGCAATGAGGAGAACAAAGCCAAGAGCGGTGAGTGACTCTCAACCCTGAGCTCATTCTGCCGTGCATGGGGCCCTCAGCCACTCCTGACCTGGACTCTGTCTCCCCTCAGTCCTCAAGAAGCTCCGAGGCACGACAGATGTCAGCAGTGACCTGCAGGAGATGAAGGAGGAGAGCCGGCAAATGATGAGAGAGAAGAAGGTCACTATAATGGAGCTCTTCCGCTCTCCCATGTACCGCCAGCCCATCCTCATCGCAATCGTGTTGCAGCTGTCCCAGCAGCTCTCAGGGATCAATGCGGTGAGTGTAGGGCCGGGGACCCACTGTGGGTCAGCTTGTTTCACCCAGCCACAAGAGCTTGGGCTCTGCTGGGTGCAGTGTGCACAGCTTGTGGGTTGGTGCCAGCCCCAGGCTGAGGTGACTCCTTTCCTCATGGCATATCCTTTCTGTTTGTAGGTTTTCTACTACTCCACCAGCATTTTTGAGAAGTCAGGTGTGGAGCAGCCTGTCTATGCCACCATTGGCTCTGGGGTGGTGAACACAGCTTTCACTGTTGTTTCGGTGAGTTGTAGCCTCCACCTCACCTGAGAGCTTTGTGTTGGGCTGGTGAGCTCTGTGGAAGTGGGGAGTGGTGAGTGTGTGATGTGCTACCTGAGAAAGTATGTGCAGGTAAGGAGGGAAAAGGGAGGAGGAGATTTTCTCCAGCTGGAGGTGCTGATGGATGTCTTCCCACCTGACAGCTCTTCGTTGTGGAGCGAGCTGGACGCAGGACCCTTCACCTCATCGGCCTGGCAGGGATGGCAGGGTGTGCAGTGCTCATGACCATTGCTCTGACGCTGCTGGTGAGTGGTGGGGGCTGGGGGTGGATGGGAGGATGCCCTGCACACCACTGCTCACTGTGATGGCTTGTGGGGAGATAGGGTTGGAGATGAGGAAGGATGTCCTCTTCCCAGGGATCTGTGTGGTCTTCTCTGCAGATCTCTCTCAGGGTCCCAGAAACACCATTTCCAATCCAGAAAAACCCCGTGGCTTCTGCTAGCACCATGCTTGTCTGGAGTCTCACCTGTGCTGGCTGCACACTTTGTCAGTCCGTATGAGCAGCACTCACTGACCTGTTTTCTCCCTCCTTTGGACTAGGACCAAATGCCCTGGATGTCCTACCTCAGTATTGTTGCCATCTTCGGGTTCGTGGCCTTCTTTGAGATTGGTCCAGGTCCCATCCCTTGGTTTATTGTGGCAGAACTGTTCAGCCAAGGCCCTCGTCCTGCTGCCTTTGCTGTTGCTGGGCTGTCTAACTGGACCTCCAACTTCATTGTGGGCATGGGCTTCCAGTACATTGCGGTAATCATCTCCTGTTTTCTGGGGCAGTGGGTCTGGGGGTGTGTGCAGGCAGCCTAACAATACACCAGTTGGATTATGAATATAGACAAGATTCCTGAGCCCTAAAACCTGCATTAGGATTGTGACTTGGGTTTGCTTTTAGATTGGTATGGGAAATGCCCCTAGGGATGAGGTATAGGGAAGCCACGTCCTGGAGCAGGCTGGCACTGTTCTTGAAGCAGTGGGTATGGGCAGGACAGTCACTAGATGACAAGTCCCTCGGGTGGGGAGGGCACAGCCTGTGGTGCATTGTTTCGTGCCTGGCACTGGTGGGTGGCTGCACTCTGGCAGCCCCAGCAGGGCCCCAGGTTTTGCTGGCTCTGTCCATGCATTCACTGCTTCTTGGTGCTCTCCTTTTCAGCAACTCTGCGGCTCCTACGTCTTCATCATCTTCACGGTGCTGCTAGTCCTCTTCTTCATCTTCACCTACTTCAAGGTGCCTGAGACGAAGGGCCGGACCTTCGATGAGATTGCCTCCGGCTTCCGTCAGGGGGGTGCGAGCCAGAGCGACAAGACTCCGGATGAGTTCCACAGCTTGGGTGCTGACTCCCAGGTCTAACCAGCTGCGGCACATCCCGTCTCCTCCGAACCTCCTAACTTCTCTCCTGAGTGTTTTTAATACTTGTACAGAAACGAGGAAGGAGGGAGCGGGGGGTCTGGCTCTTCTGCATACACTCCTTCTCCAGACTCCCCCACTGACCGCCTGGTTCATCAGTGACTGACTGTATTTTTGCTAGGAACGATTTTAGCTGGTTTCAAGTCCAGGATTTCAAAGCCGATAGGTTCAGCAACAATGACTAATGTTTTAAAACCAACCAAGCAGCATCCTCCAGCCTCTGTGAGCAGGAGGGTGGCTCCCTTTTTAATGAAGAGATAGGTTATTTCATGCGAAAAATCACATAGCGGAAGTTTTTAAAGCTGGAAACTTTTTTTTAACATTCTAATCATAGAGAAATCGTGTAATTTGACTAAGTCTAAACCAACATTTTTTTTAAAGTTATTTTTTAAAACAGTCTAAGATTTCAACCCCCTCATTGGGTTTGTGGATGGGGATTCCCTGTCCTCCGGGAGCGCCTCGGGGCAGCACTGAGGATGAGAGGTGTGGGCACAGCCCTGCTCCTCTGTGGGTGCCGGAGTGGAGCGCTTCCCCTGGAGCAGGTTGGGGAGGTCAGTAGTACTGGAGCAGGTGGCAGAGCGCTGTCTTCCCTTGTGCAGGCTCCTGGAACAGCTTCTCACCTTTCTGAGCAGAGGGCTGCGTGCGCTTCCTCGCCTGGATTCCATCCGTTCTCATGCTGGCTGTGCGCTCGGGCAGGCTGAGATGGGAGGGGAGGGGATCTCTTGGTGTATTCTTGGCAATATTTGCCTTATTGGTCAACCGTGGCGCGAAGAGCGGGCGGAGAGGAGCAGGGGTTCAGTGGCAGCACAGAGCTGTGGCCTCAGCCTTCCCTGGCACCATGCTGTCCCCCGGAGCCCTGCGGAGCCAGGAGCGGGCGGCGGTCCCACGCTGCAGCACGCCTTGCCCATCGTCACCACATGGATCCCGGAGTCACCGAAATTCACCACACGGATACATACATTTCCTGCTCTGTGTACAGACTGGAAGATATTTATATTATATATATTTTTGTTCAATGGTGTTAATAGTAGACGTTAAGTTATAGTGCTTCTGATTGACAAGGAACTGTACTGTAAATATTCCTGGAGTATATTCACAGTGTATAATGTATACAAAAAGGTACAGATGCAAAGGTTTAGTCTCTATAGCAACTCTAAGGAAAGCTTGTACATGGTTAGGATGACTTTTGTATAGTTAATTACCTGCACTGTAGTTGTATCTATTGCACTGAATTTTAGTCCTTAGTATATTAAAAACAAGAAAAACTGTCCTTTTAAAACAAAACTTAAAAAAAAAAAAAAAAACCAACACAAAAAGCAGCCCTTTTCCCCTGCGTGCAACTGTTGTAGGAGCTACTGGCACATTCCCAAAGCCATGTGCAGTTATTTAATAGTGTTTTTTTTAATTTATTTGTCTGTTTTGGAAGTGAGTACATTGAAAATAAAGGTAGAAAAAAACCATGACAACTCATCACAACTCATCACATATCTGTGCAGCATCCCAGAAACTGCACACATTTTTTTTTTTTCCTACTGTGCATAAACATAAGTGCCAAGAGAATGGAGAAAGGCGTGTGGTGTGCTAACAATAAACAGGAATGTATGCAGCGACCCAACCTGCTGTGCTGTGTGCCTTTATTTCTGGGAGGAGTGCTGGTGGATGGAGTGCAGCGGGTCAGAGCTTCAGTGAGGCCATCCCTGCGTGCAGCTCAGGTGCTGGTCATGGGGTGTTTGTGTCCTATCCCTGTTCTGGGAGTAGCAGTGGGCTCCCCAGTGTGTGCTGCTCCTTGCCAAAGCTTTTCCTCACAGGGATGCAAGGCTCCTTGTTACGAAATGCCCACACTGTGCTCTTGGCTGTGTTGTTGCCATCTCCTGGCTGCTTCCTGGGGGAATTTCTCCTTTACCTAACCCAGTGCCAAGGGCTGCAAGTCTGAACACTGCTGGGCAAAGAAGTGCTGAGCTTGTTCGCTTCGGTTTTCTGCTATTTGTCAGAATAGCTCTTTGCCCTGAAGTGTATACAGGGAGATGGCTGTTCCAAAGGGTCATAGAGAAAAGCTCCTGTAAAAATCTTCCAATTTTCCCTAAAATATTCTGTGTGGTGGGACGTTGGGTTGCTCTGATCACCTTTACTGGTGCTTCCATTCCCTTCTCATTGCTGTGCAGGCCCTGCTACCAGAGATGCCCAGCCTGCAGACCTGTAAAAAATTAATTTCCATACCGCTTTAAGCAGCCAATAGTGATGCTGTGCCAAGTGGCAGCACTGTGGAAGGGACGCTGGCCCTGATGTGTCACATAGAGCCAGCCTGGCCATGGCATGTCTTGGGGGATTACTGCCACAGTTCCAAATCCTCAGCCACAGTGACCCAAATCCTCCACGTCCTGAGGCACTGTGCCAGCAGGCGCTGACCATCCCAGCATCCCCTGTTCCCACAAGTGTTCCTACAGTCTCAGGGAGCTGCCCTGGTCTGCCGTGGGGCCCTTGTGTGCACCAATCACAGCTATTCCACCCTGTGCAATTAAAAATCAGTTGGATTGGAGTGAGCAACTTTCCCTTTAGCAGCAGCATCAATCCCTTCTAATTGCTCAGGTCCCAGCTCGACAAAGCATTTAAAAGCGTACTTGACTCCAACCCAATTCAGCAAGGCAATTAAATGCATTCATAAATCCTCCTGAAGTAAATGAGACTTAATCGTAGGCTTAAAGCTCAGCTGAATCCAGACCTTAGCAGCAGGGCAAGTTTCCCTTAACCTCTTTCCCAGCGGTGCAAGTCTGTCACATGCTCCAGTGTCTGAACCAAGTTCACTGCACAGCTGCCTCCAGCCCTGCACCCAACTTGTTCTCAGGGACTCCTCTAGCCCTTCTCTAGTGCTCCTCAGCCTTCACTCCCAGGGCCATGCGTACCCTGTACCCTGCCTTTCTTCCTTCTCTGCTCCCAGGGGCATTTGAAGCCTGTGAGGGCTGCAGATTGGCAGTCAGCTTGATGGAGGTTTGCAAACAGTGAGAGCGTGGATTTGAAAATGGAGGGGCACTACAGAATGGTGCAGCACCTGAACAAGCCCAACCAGGTTCTGGGGAGCAGGTGTCAACCATCCGAGTTAGGAATGTAGTGGACACATTCCCCAGGCCTCTCCCATAGCCTTCCACCCCATCTTACTCATCAAAGCGAAAAGAAAATTGAGGAAAACAGTAACAAACACATTTCAGCTGGTCTTAACTTCTTGTCAGACAATGTGAGGAGATAAGAGGCTGTTACCCTCATTACAGTAGCAAGTAGGCAACAATTTATGCACTGGTAGTGCTTTTGTTTCCCATTCTCATGTTGTTACTCCGTAGCAGTCTGCAGAGGTTGACAAGCATGTAACAAAATACCACAAGCTTACCTTTCAAACACTTCCAAATGGAAAGGGACACTTCTAGAGAAGTGACAACAGCAAAAAGTACTTGCAGCTTGCAATGCATTTTTAACGTTTCCAGCCACCTAGTTAAATAACCTAGCCAAGCACCTGGCTCTGGTAGAAAGAGCTCCTTATTTTGTGCAGGAAGCCTGGGAGTCAATCAGCTTTAACAAATAGCCGATGGCTTCTAGAGGCTCTTGCTGGGGTAATTGTTTCAGCAGGTCAAAAGCTTTCATCCCTATTTCACAAGCCTGGAATGAAACAGAAAAGACAATGTAATTGTGAAGAATTTGGCTTTTCTCAAAGGGTACTTAAAATACTTGTACAGACTCATTGAAATGGCTGCGCTGGATCTGATCCAGGCTCCAATTGCTCAGCCACCTGTTTCAGAGGGTGACCTGTACAAGCTGCTTTAGAGGAGAGAGTAAAGCTGCCCAGATATCATATTTAGGATCCAGTGGTGCAGACAGAAGAGATTACCAACCCCAGCTCCTCCTGCTGGAGAGCATTACCTGCCATCTGACACACCAGTTCATCTGAACATTCTGAAAGCTATTTCAGGAAAAACCAGCTGCATCAACTCTGTTTGAACTAAATCCCTCATTTTCCTTGGTAGCCCTTCCAGTGACTAGACATTTTCACATTCACAAAGCTTTGCTTTTTTTTTTTTTTTTTTTTTCTTTTTTGAATTTCTTTCTTTGTGTCTTCCAAACACTTATTTGTACTATAGCTTTCTCTAACACAACAGAGACCATTAATAATCTGTATTTCCATCCCTCAAATCACAGGCAGAAGAAACCTGAGAGTCTGACTGCTCAGCCCAAACGAAGAGGCCTGATTTGCAGAAGGTTAAAGCTCAGCACTTTCTCAAAATTAATTATCTTAAGTGCAGAAAATTGCATGCTGAAGTTTGCAGTTGCATCTGAAAGTTTTAGCCATAAACTCTCAAATACAGCAGCACAAATTCAAAACTGAATTACAGGGTCCCATCGTGGTAATTGCAGGGAGTCTTGCTCATGGAGAGATACATGCAAGGCCTACATCTTTCTCACTGCATAACATCCAGCCTGATGTCTAAATGTGGCCTGTGAGAGGCACCTATACTGCCAGGATGAAAGACAAACCTTGAAAAGGTGAGTAACTACAGGATCTGCTGTGGATGATGAGGCAGAGCTTGAAACAGACTCAGTGGGGTTTTTTAGCCCTGACAGAGTGCAGAGCATGAGCTGGCTTTGTGCAGAGCTACTGGAGCAGCTTTGCCTTGAGTTGTCCAGTGCTCCAAGGTAGTCGTGCTCTCAGGAGAGGAGCCAGTGGCAGCTGGCTTGCATTCATGCCTTTGTGGAATGGGGCCAACACCTTCCTGCACCCTTTCAACAGGTGAAACTTACCTTTGATAAATCCATGATTAGGTAATAAAGCATTGCAAGAGCATGCAAGACTCTGGCAGTTTCCCCAGGTTGTTGCTTTGGTTCCTTTTCTCTGATATCTAGTATTGCATTCAGGACCTGAATTGCTTCTGCTTGCTGGGCTTCAGCTGCATCAAGAATGAAATAATCTTGTTGGATGTATGTATACAAGATAATATATTCAAAACTGCCCAATTATCTCTTCTAGACATCAAAGCACTTCTACAACAAGCATCAGTGTGGCATTCCAGCTCCATGCAAATTCCATACCCATTAACAAATATCTTTTCATCCAGTCTGTAATTGTGTTGATTAGCCTTTAGTAAGGATGTGAAGTCAGAACAGCTGCATAAAAAGAGCAACTTTCATACTCCTGTCACATCTAAAGATGGATTCATGTAGACCTGCCTTGTTTGGTTCCTATTGCAGCAATAATATTATTTGACAGAACGCCAGGTAAAGGGATTTGCAGAAGCATTTCTTCTTCTCTGGCAACATTCTTATGAGTGTAGATGGTAGAAGGAAGACAAAGAATGGAATCTAGACTGACTTCATGGACTGCTGAAGTCATACCATGCACACTAGCGTATTTCCCAATGCTTCATACACCTTCCTGTAGCATATTCTCCAGACTAATACATCCAGTTATGGACACATGCTATTTCATTGTGTCCCACTGCTTCAGATGATAGAGCTGGCATTACCTAAGTGAGATGAAATTTCACCTAATTAAATGAAAGGAAAGGAGCTGCTGAGAAACGAGAATGCTGAAGTGGAATTGAATCCTGAAAGGCACCATCTTGTATTGCTGGAGTCATTGTCAAGGATACTGTGAAAAGGGTAGGGTAAACCAAAAGGGCAAGGTTGTGTTTCCACTTGAACACTCTCATTTCTAAAGTGGCCTCATTTGTTTCATCCAGCACTACCTACTGGGCACAACTGTCAGAAACACCCATGATTCTGATTAAATTCGGTCTACAGAAAGACAGTGCAAAAGCCAACACAGTAAATATGAACACTAAGATGGATGGATTTTTTAAATTCCTGTCTCCCAAACACTCCTGCACAATAGTGGTGCTTACTCATGGTGTCTTCACTGACTTCCACTTCCTTGTCCTCAGTGAACGGAGACTTTTCTGCTCTCAACTTGTGAATTTGCTCCTGTGTTTGGACTGACTTCACAAGAAAGGTGTGCCAGATGTCAGTGACCTACCAGGAAGTGAATGAATTATTTCACCCATGTGAACACATGGTATTTAGCAACTGGCTGTTCTATAAACAATGCATTCTGCAGTGCACGTCCCTTCCGCAACAACCCCAGCGCATACTGCTTAGTGGGCAGGCAGCTGCTAAGCTGGATGTTTCACATGGAGATCTGATGGCTCTTCTCCCAGTGGGAGCCTGAGTTGGAAGCTCATTTCTCTATCTGAATACTAATTTTCATCAAATTTGAACAAAACTAACTCAATTGATAACTCAAAGCAAATTTGGTGGATGCTTGTGAGTGGAGTGGAGGCAAAGCCTCATAAAATAGTCAGGCTAAACAACTGAAAGTTCATTTTTTCCCCAGTTGTTATGGTCATTAGACAACTGTCACTTTCTTTATTTGACAAGCTTTTAGCAGTGTGACTTTTCACTGATATTCTGCTTAAATTTTACACGGCTTGTTTGCATCCCACCACTGCTCGGACACTCTTCCTTGGTTATGGAAACTCCCTGGCCACCTTCTCTGCCTGTGGGAATGTCTTCAGCCTTTGGTGTGGGGCTTTGATTAGTAAAGCTATTTTTTAATGAGGTTTACCTATGAAAATTACAACTTCAATACCTTTTCCAGAATTTATTTGTTCTGGTTCTAACTCGGGGAAATATTTGGATATGAAAATGTTGATGCTAAAACACTGATACGGTTGCTATCATATTAAAGGCAGTCAGAAACAGGGAAACACTGAAAAGCACACAGGAAAAAAAAAAAAAGTTAATTGAGAGATGGAGACAGGATGAGCTTTGGATTTACGAACCTCAGCATACAATGAGTTCGCTATGTCCATTTTGTTCTGGTGAAAAAAAACATTAGCCATGTGGAAATACCCTCCAGAGGCCTCAACAGATTTTAGTCCAAATGTAGAACTAGCAAGGTAAATCTGAAAAGAATATTAAAAGAAAAGAAAAAGCAGGAGTTTAACATTCATATAAACCCTGAGAAATTTTTCATTATTACAGATTAATAATATTGCAAAATGCTGTCTTTTTCTGGGTAACTACAGCATTAGTTACACTTGATTGTAACTGTAAAACGGGGTACCTGCAAAGCAATATTTTGTGTGTTATACACAGGAATGCAATACGCCCAAATGCCCTGCTAGCTGGTGCAGAAGATTCCTTTTCATGGTGTGCTGCCCTGTTGAAGCATGGGACAGGTTCCTCACACCTCTTCCTTTTAGTGTGCATCCTGCAGGTCTCTTGTCTTCAAATGAACAACTTGCTGCTGCTTTTCAGAGCTCCAGACGTGCCTGTGGAGGCTGTTTCCTCCCCAAAGCCCCAGCCAAAGCGAGGGGAAGGTAGTGGGGAGGCACTGGCACATTCCAGCTATTCTGAGCTGGCATGTGACTCTCAGCAGATCTCAGACACTCAGCCAAAATCCAAGCAGGTCCTGTGCTGCTCTGATGCAGCCCAGAGACTCACTAGTAGTAAAAAAACCTACTGCGCTGCTCCTTTTCAAGCACCAGACCAAGGCAACCTAAAAAAACCACAAAAGTGGCACAGCAGGGAATCTCTCCCAGTAGGTTTACAGTAGGTTTACAGACTAAATGAAGACAGAGTTGTGTATGTTACGATAGAAAGCCTCTAATCCTCCTCCACTGTGTGTCATCGCTTACGCCCACAGAAAGCTGTTGTAAAAAGTGACTATCAAATTCAACAGTAGTGGGTATACATCACTCTGCACTGGGTAAATTTAGGCGACGTGGGACATAAATAGGAAGTCACAGAGTTCATCTGCCTTTGGGCTGTTAAATAACAGGCGAACCATCCCCGGGAACATTGCTGGCAATAACCACTTCACATTTCTCAAACCACTGTCGTGGCTAAAAAGATTGAACTGGGGAAAAAGGAACTGAACCAGATATTTACATAGGTAAGTGAGGCATTCATTAAAGAATGGGTGATGGAAAATTGCCATTGAACAGAAAAGTATTAAGGAAAATGACAGCCAAAATATACAGTCACTTATCTGCTGAACAAAAGGCTGCTACAGCAGTTTGCGGTAGGAATGTCTGTTGATATCAGGATCTTAACAAAGCTGACAGAAAAAATTCTAAGTAGATGTAGGAAAGATGAGTTATATATCACTTGAGAATAACCAGAACTGGCAAAACACAACTTTGGCTAACACATGGATACACAGGTGTCTAAGAGTCATGCAGCTCAGGTGTTCTTAATGTGTACTGTCCTGGTTCCTCAAATCAGTGCGACAAACCTGTCTGTTGGGTGTTCATATTGCTCAGAACAGCTACAGAAGGAAGGAAAACTGAAAGGCTTCTGCATTATTATTGGCTTACATCATTGGCCAGGTGATATAAAGCCTGATTGAAGTTTCCATCAGCGACATAGAGAAGCCCCAAACTGCGATGCAATCTATGCTGAAAGGCACCACTGCAATCTGGAGTTCTGAGGACAATCCATTGAGCTTGGGAGAGATAGTTAGATGCCTGCTGAAGGTTGCCAACACCTGAAATGACATACAGAAATAAGCAAGATACAGAGCACTTTCTGCTTAGAAATGTAGAGGATATTGCCTGCTATCCCTTTGCAGCAGTTTGACATGAAGACACAGTTTATGGATTCCCCACTTCTGAGTTAAGCAAGTGTTCAGAATGTAAGTTACAGACAGCTACAAGAGAAACCAGAAACTGCATTGCCTTCAATGCCTCTGAAACACGTGTCCAAAACAGGTAACATCCAGGTAGAAGCTAACAACTGCTGTATTATCACGCTCAAAATACCGATGGGATATTTTTCCTTCTCTTGTCTCCCCATTTTACAACAATCTTTGACATTGCTCAGCTTCGCCAGCAGAGCATTGTGTCTACTCCTGTTACAGCAATGGTTTACAATCATTTCTCAGTCATTTATGTGTGCAGCTGAGCCATACAGTCAATGAGAAAAAGTTCTGCTCCAGGCAGAACTCGCTTCTGTGAACGAACAGAGGTGCTCCTCTGATGGGGTGGCCTCAAAAGTGTGCTGGCTGGGAATTTAATGCTTTTGTGAGCCATAGAAGCCACAGAGGTAAAGAGCTGAACTTCATACCCCTTCTCTTGTGAGAATCAGTTAGAGATGGAGAAAATGCTCCATTTTTCACTGATCTCTCACCATCGATGAGAAATCTTTTTCCCTGTCCAACACAGAAAACAGGAGGTGGTACCCTGAATCTCCCTGGATGCCCTTCAGGCTGGGCATAGAACAGACATGGCACAATGAATGCAGAGCTGGCCCTTCCCTGGAATGCTGAAAGGAAACCAGAAACCTGACCCAGGGGAGCTCTTGCCCTTGCCAAAGTTACTGTTCAGACCAGTGCTTACCAATGCAGGCCTCAGCCAAGAGGAGATAGGCAGGTAGCAGTTGCACAGAACTTGAACCATATACTTTGGTGCTGAAACGCAATGCATGCAGAGCTGCAGGTAATGCTTTTTTATGCTTTCCATCGAAAATAAACTTCTGGGCTGTGCTGGATGTAAGATCAATGATGTATTTCTGCCAGGAAAAATAATAGTGGGGCAAGGTGAGCAAAGGATAAGGAGAAATAATATGCATGGTCTCTTTTTACATTCCAGTTTGCGCTGTTAACAATCACTGTGTAATTTTATTTGTGTCTGTAATTAATAGATGGAAATTAAAGCTGTCATATTAGTGCCTGGATTTCATTCCTACTTCTGGTAAGAACAGCTCTGGGCATCCTCTTAGGTCATGTGGTGTCTTATGAGACAAAGAATCCTTCAGGCCTATGAAAAAGGACTAACAAGGTTGTAGCAATAAAAGCTGTGAAGCACAGAAAACGATCATCACAAGACCATAGAAAAGATCAGACAAAGGGGTTACAGCAGGATTTTGCTGACGATAATGGTGACTCATAGCAGGCAGCAGAGCGTATGGTTTGCCAGGCTGGTGCCAGCATGGCACATCTCCAGCTGCAGGAGACACTGTCTGGAAGCAAGGAGAGAACTCGTTACATCGTGCTGCAGCACACTGTAAGGGCAGGTTCGGGTGGGACAGCAGCGTACCCGCGTGATTCCTGGGGCTTGGCAGCTTCCTCTCACCCTCTGCTGGCCACTTCTGGGCTCTGAAGGGCTGACGGTTTGGATGCAGTCCGGAAAGTTGATCACAGAATCACAGAATCACAGAATTGGCAGGGTTGGAAGGGACCTCAAGGATCATGAATCTCCAACCC